TATCCGGGCACGCACGAGAACTCCGCCGTCGCCGGGTACCGCGCTGGCGTCGAGCTCAGGCGCAGGTGCCCGTTCTGCGGGTCGCTCAGTGGTTTGCATAGCACCCCCACACACGACGGCGCCGTGCCGCCAAATCCGCCCGTGCTGGCAATGCAGCTGCGCTGCGCATCCCCCGTGTCGCTCAGCTCATACCCGGCCTGGCACGTGTATGTAGCTGTGGACGGGTACTGCCGGCTGTTTGTGTACGAGACGCTGCCGTGGTTCGGGGTGTCCAGCAGGGTGCACAGCCGCCCAACACATGTCGGTGCGGGCGACGACCACGTGCCGTCCGCCTGGCACTGCGCAGATGTCGCTCCCATCAGCACGTACCCAGTGTTGCACGAAAACCCTGCACACAAAAAAAGAAAACGCACGCACGCACAAGGGGGGACGGAGGGACACGTGATGATGATGATGAGTGTATGAGACAAGGAGACACAATCCAACTGTACGCCCGTCTCACATGCACACAACATGTCACGGGCAGCACCACCATACCCACACACAACCACACACACACACACACACACACACACACACACACACACACACACACACACACACACACACACACACACACACCTGCTGTGGATGGATGACGGATGGTGCCTGACGGTGACACGCTGCCGTGGGCAATGCTGATCCCCGGGCACGGCACGCCAATGCACCGCGGCATCGTCCCGGCCCACGTCTTGTCTGTCTGGCACTGCAGCTTGTTGTCGCTGGAGCTGGCCAGCATGTACCCTGGCGCGCACGTGTATGTCGCTGTGCTGGGATACTGCCCGTTGTTGCTGAGCGAGGACACACTGCCATGGCTCACGCTCGGTGGTGTGTTGCACTGCACGCCGACGCACTCGCCAGCGCTGGAACCGCCGCACCCGGCGCGGTAGTACCCGGCCGCACACGACCCGCACGGGCTGCACGGCTGGTTGTCTTGTGACGTCTTGTATGTCCTGCAACGACAAGAAAGCAGCAACACAACGTTGCGTGCATGCAAGCAAGGTTGTGTGTCCTTGTGTGAGGTCGCGCACCCGATAACACAAGCGAACGCACATATTGAGACACATGAATAGAATACACTTGCACTTGCACGCACACACACATGCACACACAAGCACACACACGCACATGCCTCTGCATCCAGTTGCACGCACGACATTGCACGTGCCATGTCGTGCACTCACCCCGAGTCACACGGCGAGCACGTGCCTGCGCTGGTGCCGCTGCAGCCCGTGCGCTCAGAGCCTGCAGGGCACGACCCACACGACGTGCACGAACCATCATTGCTACCGCCGCAGTTGACGCGGTACTGGTTTGAGCCACAGGAGCCGCACGGTGTGCATGAGCTCTGGCCGCTGCTGGCGCTGTACGTGTTGGGGCCACATGCAGTGCACGACGTGCCACTGCCGTAGTAGCCCGGGTTGCACGAGCACGACCCGTCACATGAACTGTCGCAGCTGCTGTACGTGCATGAGTCGCAGCTTGCATCGCAACTCCCATCGCAGTTCCTAGGAATAGTCCACGCGGAAAAGTTGAAGACCATGTGAGACGTTTGCAATGATTGCCGGACAGACCTGGCTCTGACTCGCATGCCACAAACGAAAGGTTCACTCACGAGTTGCATGGGCCGTCACAACTTGAGTCGCAGCCGCCGTTGCAGCTGGAATCGCAGGATGAGTCACAGCTAACGGGTGAGCAGGAGCTGTCACAGCTTGAATCGCAGCCACGGTTACAACCTAATCAAAAATGGAGGATGTGCAGAGAATGAGGGCATGGAAGTCATGGAAAACATTGGTTAGCTTGCTCACACACCCGTTCAAATTGGACGAACCAAGCTAGATGGCATAAGACTGTATGATGCACTTACTGCTGTCGCAAGAGCTGTCACAGCCGCCGTTACAGCTGGAATCGCAACTCGAATAGCAAGTGTCGCAGCTGTAGTCGCAACCGCGGTCGCAACCGCTGTCACAACCGCCGTCACAGCCATAATCACACCCGTAGTCACAAGAGTAGTCACAACTGCAGGCTATGGCGGGGGAGGGGGGAAGGTTACATGGTGTGAATTGAGACGTCAAGAGGAACATGCATTCGTAGTTGAGAAGTGGCACAGCGTGCTTTGAACAAAACACAGATGTTACACATCTTAGTGAACTTACGTGAACTGTCACAGGAGCTGTCGCAGTAAGAGTCACAGCTCCAGCCAAAAAAGTCGCAGCTACCGTCGCAGGAGCTGTTCAGTACAAGTGGTGCCGAGCCAGGTTGAAAGCAAGGTGGTGAGCTCGGTTGCGTGATAGCCGTGGGTGAAACACAGCGAGCACGCACACTGGCACAGATGATGAATGTAAACGGTTACCTGTCGCAGCTTCCGCAATAGCTGTCACATGAGCTGTCGCAGCCGGAATCGCACCCAGCGTCACAGCTGTAATCACAGCCGTAATCGCAAATGTCGCAAGAGCTGTCGCATCCTGCGTTGCAGCCAGAATCACAGCTGCTGTCACAAATGTCGCAAGAACTGTCACAACTGCCATCGCAGGCATCGCAGCTGGAATCGCAGCTACCATCGCAACTGTTGATGCATCGCATTGATACACAGATGGAACATGTGAGGTGACAGCACCTCTGATGTGTGTGTGTGTGCGTGCGTAGTGAAAGGGTGGGCCTTAGACGTGGCAAGAGTTTGTGCAGTGACTTACTGGGTGGAATCACAGCTTGAATCACAGCTTGAGTCACAAACGTCACAGCTTGAGTCGCAGCTGGTGCATCCAGAATTGCACGAGCTATCACAGGAAGAATCGCAGCCGTTGTTACAGCTCCGCCTGCGACAACACAACACAGAAGACGTCACAACGAAAGCTGTGAGAGGCGCGATGATCACCATGCATGCGTAGAATGAAACGAACAACGTGTGGCATTTTGTACACACACACACACACACACACACACACAAACCGCACACATAACAAAGCTTGTGCCCGTTCAAGTGCACTTACGTATCGCAACTGCTGTCACAGCTGCTGTCGCAGGTATACGCGGTTGTCCGCGTTGAACGACGCACACGCTCCTGCAATCGATGATGCGAATATAGGTGTGTGGGCGAGTGTGTGCGAGTGTACATGTGTACACACGTGTGTGTGTGTATGGGTGAGCTGCTACTGGCACCAAACCAAGACCATTGGGCAGGCATTTTCGTTAGGTGAGTCTGCCCCATGACCGACAACCTCCCAAACAGTGGTATGTGCCTGAGCAAGAGACGACACACGTAAAAAGCAAGCAGGCACACGCACACGCACACGCACAAACACATCACGCATCACAAATACACAAACACACAAGCATGCACACGTTGCGCACCATCTGCGGCACGTGCATCTTGCGGAAGCGGGGCGACGTCACGTCCACGGGCATTTTGCCGCGTGCGCACAGCTGCTCCACAACAGCGGCGGCCGACTCCTCGCTGCACACGCGCTCAACAAGCGCGCCAATGCCGTCTGCATTCAGGAACGCGTCCAGGTCGTTTGCCTTGGTGTACGTCTCAAGCACATCGGGTCCAACCTCGCGA